GTTGGTAGGGGGGGGGGTGGCTACTACTACTACTACTACTACTACTACTATTACTACTACTACTACGACGACGACGACGACGGCGGCGGCGACCACGACGACCACGACGACCACGACGACGACGACGACTGCCACCACTACTTCCATTGCCACTTCTGCTTCTGGTACCTCGACTACATTTACTTCAACTCTTGCTTCTACTTCTGCATCAACTTCTACTGCTGCTGCTTGTACTACTATGGGGCAGTGGCATACACGAGAAAGCCGTCCGCAGCAGTTCCAGCGAGTTAGTGGCAGAACAGGTCAGGCGGAGTAGCAAAATTCGGGTAGCAGTCCTCTCCACACCATCTGAACGGGTTTGCCACAGATGTTTTGCGTTGAGGACCCTCAGTCCGTTAGTTCAGGTGTTGGCAGAAAGCACAGACACTGCGGGGTACCGTGGTGTGCTGCGAGTATCACGAGGCAGCGAAAATCAGGATTGAATTCAGTGTCGTGGTTGTAAATTGGGGCTTGAGTTGGAGTCAAAGTTGGGGTTGGTTTGGCCAACCTGTTCCACTCTGGCTCGCTTGCACTCCCTGTTCAGGACAAATCGCAGTGCGAGGTGCGTGTTGGTTGGCAGGCTTTGCAGGAGTCAGAATATGGAAAGAACCTCGGCAGCCCTTAACTCAGGCAGTCAGGTATCCGATCATAAGTTGCCCATAGCACACCAGCTGCTAACGTCTGTCACCAGGGGAGCGGGGATGGTTCGGAGTTTCGACAGCGATTCTTCGTCTTTAGAATGACAGTGGTGCTCGTGAAGTTGTTCGTGTCCTAACTTATCGTGCAGCAAGAGCAACCGTGCCATGGTTCTGGAACTGAGCGACTATTTGGTACCGCCAGATTGGAAGCAAAGGTGAGTCAGGTCAGGCTGTAGAAACTTGAAGCGCGCGAGAGAGTGGCCAGTCTGCGGTAATCTGGGTCTGACAAAGACATCCGAATCCAAGGAATATGCTGAACATGAAGAACTGGCCCATCTTCGGCCGAAACCTGCAGCTCGCCCTCAACTCGAGTTGTTTGACTGACCGGAATATGGTTGCACTGGCGGACACGGGCAGCAGACGAAGTCAGGAAGAAGGCACGTCTTCTATATTCCCCGGACAACACAGTGAAAAACGATGACGATGGTGATGCGGCCTCTGCTGCCTGCCAGCAAGATGTCATGGAGAGTGGAGCAGTGTTCGACTCGTCAATAAAGAAGTCTTCTGACTTGTCAAGCACAGGAAAGCGAGCAGATCCAGTTGGCGGAAGAAGGCGTGTCGGCTGCTTCAAGCTCCCTTTATCTGCGTCTTGAGCGCAGCAACCTCTGCCTCTGCAGGGCGTGAGCATGTGCGGAAGCTGGTGGAGCAGGTCAATCATCTGTCCATTGAGACTTGGAATTGAAAAGGTCTTTGACAGTCGCATGGCTTCACGGCCTTTGCATGTTGAAGATCAGGAGCTTAAGCCTTTCCCTGCCCGATCGAAGGATGGAATTCTCGATCATTTGCTCTCTTTCTACGTCTGCATGCGCTATGTGCCGGATGAGGCTCCTGCTCATCATTGAAGCATGTTGTAGAGTTGTAGCATTGTAGCACTTGCAACGACAGCAGGGCGGTGTCTTCGCCGCAGAATAATGACTTGGGCCTGTGAAAGAAATGCCCACTCTGCAGGAGTTCGTGGAGCTCGCAAAGTATGAGCTGGACAAGGCGAACCGATTTTCCGTCTTCAATGATGTTCAGCAATCCACACGAATCAAGTTTAGCTGGAAGTGCTACCGGGATGCTTTTCTCATTTGCGTTGTGTTTTTGATTGGAACTTTCTTTCAATCAGTGGAGGTGGCTCTCTTGATGTCTGGCCATGCGACCACAACTGAAGAACAACTGAAGAGCGGCGTCTCCCGAAGGTTGCTGTCGACCACGCAACGCCCGCTCTGGCTCGCAACGTGACTCGCAGCTCGGACTGAAGCCAGCCGGTGCCCTTCCAAAAGCGGACCGTAGAGTGCAATCGTCGCAAGGACAAGAGATCTACGAGGAGTGCCGCAGCTCAGAGAGAGAAGCGAAAAGTTGGATTCTAGACAAGCTTACGGCCTCGAGCTCTCGAGGTACAGGCAGGCCCACTTGTTTCCCCTTCGATGCAGTGGCTCGTCTCAATGGCCCTGTGCTGGCTTCGAGTTTTGTTAGCGCTCCGTCTCAATGGCCCTGTGCTGGCTTCGAGTTTTGCTAGCGCTCTTGTGAGAGCAGACGACTTGCAATAAATAGGCATCAGCAACTCGCAAAAAACGGAGGGGTTTCGAACACAAACATGAAGAATGTGAGAGACACTGAGGCAACTCCATCTATGTCCAAAAATCAGATGAGATAGACAAGCTGACGCTTGCATTGTGCCACGGCTGAACGCAGGAACCGGTTTTCACGATCAGGAGTTGCATCAGACTTCAAGACGAGCCAAGCATCGCGTTGCCTCAGCTTTTTGAGGCCAGATAGCCAATTCGAAAACTAACGGGAGAAGGTGATGCTCCATGACAGAATAAGACCGCGGCCAATGCCACCCGCCGCCAGGAACAGCCAAATAGAAGCACAGCAAGATGCAAGACATGTACAGCATACAGGCAGATGTCGAAGCTCCCAGTCCCGCGAGTCATCCGGAGTCCATTTCTTCCTGGTTGGCTGGCATAGCGATGAAGAGCCCTGCAACTGTTGCATATTTCGGTGCAAGCCAGGGAGCCCAGTGTTCCAGTCGTGCAATGACCTTCGAGCAACAGAGTGCCCAAGTGATGAAAGTGTTGGGTCCCTTTCGCTGCAGCACTAAACATATTATAGGGCAAAAAATGTTTCTTCCCTATAATATGTTTAGCAGTTTAGCAGCTTGTAGGGAGCACCGTCCCCGAAAGACCGGACGGCATGTGGACTGCTGCAATCCCTGTGCAGAGCAGTAAGGAACACCAGCACTTCCAAACTCAACGAAGCGTACCGCTTCACTGTGAATGTGACCAAGAAGGCCACCCGCCAAGTTCACAGTCTGTTCTGTGTACTGAGTTGTTGAGAAACACAATCATGACATAGTGTACCTGGCAGGCCATGCGGTCCTTGCAGGAAATGGACGAAGAGCTGCGTCTCAACCTGTGCCCTAGCAGCACTTGGGCGTTGTTGTCAGCATGGCAAGAAGGCGTGGCGCTTGTAAATCTCTGCAGGTCTGATGCAGACAAGCATGACTCGATCTACATGCAGGAGTTTTGCACAACCGCTCCTGCTAATCTGGTTGCTCTTGATCTGTTGCTGCGACCATATTTGCTCGGATCTCCTCAACACAAACGACACCACCTTCGTTGCCAAAAGGATTTGTTTATAACATGCTCACCACCTCTGTGTTGCTTTCCGAGCATTCTCCGTTGTATTGGGTGCTGTCATTAGCCTTTGCTTTCTCAGGTGTTTGCTTCTCTTTGCTTCAGATCCAAGCCGTGCTCGAGCAAGCTTTGTCGGTAGGCTGGGCTGGCTCGATCTTCGCCCTGTGTCGCTTCGCGAAGTCCTAGACCTTGTTGGGAAACTTTGACAGCTTGCACGGCACCACATGTATATGTATATGGTATATACACATAGTTGCGTGTGTATATATATATATATATACATATATATGGGCCCTTTACCTGTAGGGTGTGTGTGCGTGTGTGTGTGTGTGTGGACTCTTCAGCGTCTAATCGCTGAGGCGGAGTGTCCCTGGGGCAAGGGTACCAGACAATTTCAATGTATTCAACGGATGCAGCATGCCCAAAGGCACGGCAAGCCGTACTGTGTGAAGCAGTAGCCCCGCGCAACATGCGTGTTCAACCTAAATGCCATGGGTAAGCACGAGGCCAACAGCAGCATGGCCGTACTGCTTTTAGTCTCGCGCAGCCCATCTGCGCATCTTCTGTCCAGCTCAGCCGCCCAAAGAGCCACAATATCCAGGGCTGGTGACGTGGGATGGCAATAGAGGATTCAGCCCCCAGCCGCAAACCCAGGCTTTGCCGATGATGTTGCCATTCACGACAAGTTGCCAGTACATGGACACGTGCAGAATGTGTCCGCATCTGACAGAAAATACAATGTTGAATTTTGGCCGTGCGTCGGCACCCGTTGAGAGCTGCAAATTGCATAATTTAAAGCATATTCCGCACTGAATAGGCGCCCATATCAGACATCAAGAACAACAGTGTTATAAAGCATTGAGAGGAATGTGCATGCAGGCTATGTGTTGACAACGACAACTCATGGAAAACAGGGTCTTGACTGTAGAATATGGGGCCGTAATGTGTTACACTCTCTTCCATGAGTAGTGAATGGAGCGAATAAAGAGGAGACTTCATGGTAGATTCTCGCTATGATGTGGCCCTGTTAGCTTGGAGAAGTTGCATTGATCCTACGTAGTATTCTAAAGGATCCCGAGCAGTGCAAGACTAGTATGATACTCTTCGGTAGGATTCATCTTGCGAGTACAAGGATCACCGGCAATACTCAATACGACCATGCTGCCATGCTGCTTTCACATGTAGAGCGTGGTTTTGTGAGAAAAGAGCTCAGGGGCAATAATTACTCTGTAGTCCCATTTTGCGTTCAGGTGGAGTCTTTTGGTATAAGTACAGCGAAAACTAAATCTTACATCAACCAAATAGTCAAGCCTCAAAGCCCGTCGACCACTCCTTGAACCCCGAAACGTGAAATCGTGTAAGAATTACATCGTGTGCAAGCACGGCACGAGAAAACAGTATGGGTCCTTCGATTCTGGCAGTATGAGCAGGCCCGAAAAATAAAACGCCAGAGTTGCGAGCTCCAACCATGCTTGTTTTTTCAGCACTATTAATCGGGTGTCAATGGGTTAGGTGTGTCTTTGGGTGTGAAGTAGACGGGGTTGAGTTTAGCAATCCGTAATCATAGTAATTACTCCGGTTCCAAGTAGGTTTTTTTTGTGGCAAGCAACCGGGAGCAGAGGCAATACTTAGCATTACTTTTCCGGCTCCAGGGAAGTCGTTTTGTGTTAGCCGAGGGAGCGGAGGCAATACTTCATACTTAATCGGGCTTCAGGCCTGTGGGTCTTCCTGTGTTAGTACAGTAGAAGGCGGAGCGGCAATACTTAGTTTCTTAGCGCTGGTATCTCGATTTCAGAGAGGTTGTCTTGTGTTAGTAGAGGGGGGGAGAGGCAATAGATAGCACTAGTGTTCCGGTTTCGCGTGGGTCTTCTTGTGTTGGCAACGGCCGGCAGGGGAATTACTCAGCACTAATATACCGGTTTTATGCAGGTTTTCTTGTGTTGGCAGCGGGGCCAGGGGCAATACTTAGCACGAGTATTTCTGGTGTTAGTATCGGAGGTTCGGCATCAGGATTCTGTCCTGAGGTCTGTTTTTTCTCTGTTAGGAGGGAGGTGGGCAATACTGGCAATACTCAGTACTAGTATTTCGTGCTCAGCTTTGTCGTTAAAGGAATGAGCAGTGTAAAACAGCCATAAAAACCGTAGATCTTCGAGGGGGAAGCATATATATATATATATACACACACACACACACATACGTATACCTAGGTTCAAAAGTGTACATAAATCTATGAAGCACTCCAAGGCATCCATGTTGCTTCTCAGGCATCAGTTTGGAGGTCAAGTGTGCCAAGCTCGCGACAACAGAGCTTGCTTTAGCAGGACATGCACTGGGGCATCAAGCACCAGATGCCTTGGTCTACTTTCCTGCGACCCTCGAAGCAATATTCGCCGCTCGGCCTCCATCTACACTCGTGTTGTTCACAGGTTATGCAGAGCTTTGCATGTCGCAGGCACCACGTCTCGAAGCCGAAGAATCTGTTCATGCTTTGTTTCGGGCCTAGGGTTGCCTCGTCTGCGGCTCAGTGTCAAAGCAAGTGTCACAAATATCAGCTTGTTGCCAACAATTTTGCAGATGGATTTCGCGGTACGCTCGTCTACCAGGTATCCACACAAGCGCGAAGGAGGGCAACATGTCCTCGCGGACCCATGGCGGGTAGCTACAAGTAGCTGTTTTTCGCGGACAGGCATTTAGTGGCAGTCATCCAGACATGAGCTGAGGACATGAACATGGCAGGGTGCAACGGCTTCTGGGACCTCCAGGCCCTGGCATTGACAGATTTCTCTCAGGTCCTTCTAGAAACCTGCAGAGAGGACATCACGGAGCACATGTCCCGAATTCGGAAGCTTTTTGCGCCAGAGATGTGTTTCGAGTACAAGCTGCGAACCTCGGATTGCATTGGTGTGCCCTGTGTTTTTGTGCAGTCGCACTTTAGCGACAGTCTTGGCGTGAAGGAAGTTTACTTCATGAACGCGTGAAAGAGCCGATGCTTATTTCACACAAACGAGTCCTAAAACTAGGATGTGCTGACATTTCGACACGTGCCCACCGGACACAGAAACAAGAAAGGTTGGACCAGCCAACAAGCTTGAGTCTCTGTGTTGAGCATGAGCACATGCTATATGTCCCTGCGCTCTCAATGATGCAGTGTGACACCTTCCGTCTCTTCTCCACCTGCCGGAGAAGTGTCGTGGGCCTTTCTGGGCACCCGTGCAGCTCTTCATTCTATTCTTGGCATCAACCATGACGGCGGATAATGTAATGTCATGTCAAGATGTCTGATTAGCCGGGCGCCTGAAGTGGAATAGGTTGGATTGAGCTCAGAGCCCTCTGTGGGTCGAGCTTGCATACTTGAATTCCGGAAGTGCTCGGCGTTCTTGTCGACAAATGTGATAATCCATGTAATTAGCTCAGGAAAGGACTTGAAGCTCAAGTTCATGGAGACTTTCGTTTCTATGCATCCTGGCCAGACTTCAGCTGTCGCAAAGCCGTAGGCAGACAAATCATTCGACCCGAGGCTCTCTTAGGACAGGGAATCCGCAAAGAGTCTAAGAGAGACCGTCAGGAACCAGGAGTTTGAGCAGGCGATGGCAGGCAAGTACACCCAGACGCAGCTTGTCTTTCTGAAGGGAAGAGCTTCGCACATCTTCGCACATCTTCGCACAGCTTTGGACTTCTAGACTTTCGCCCCAAGGATCGGGGAGCTGGATCCCACCAGGTCGAAGCGGCTGGAGCACTTCTTCGAGCGTCGCTCGGCTTGAGAGCGGCGGCGGCCCGGCCCGTGTGTGTGCCGTGCACTTTGAAGCATCAGCTCATTCTCGCAGGCACTGCTGTCAACGACTACACAGAAGAGATGAGCGAGATGTTGCCTGACAAGGAACATAAATTTGCCCGGAAGGGTTACAAACTTCCCTTACAGACGTCCCTGTTCGCTTAGGAAAGCTGCTGGAAAGTACGAGGACTTCGCAAAGCTGATGGCGAAGGCACTTTCCAGCTCGTGCGCTGATCGAGCCTGATGTCTACTGAGTCTACAACAGAAACATTTGAAAGGCGTTGAATGTGTGAGGGAGCAAACTCTATGAAACGTGCTGAAGCCGCATGAAGAAGCCTCACTGATGACTTTATGCCAGGTGGTAGAATCTAGATGAGTCGGATGAACACACAGAAGCATAAGATTCGAGACTGCAGTCTCGAAGTTCCATGTCTTCTTACTTGTCGCTATGACATTCCCTGGCGTGGGCTCCGCCGTCGGTGGGTTTGGCGACAGGATGTGAACGTCGAACACAAATTCAAGAACGGACGGTTTGTCGACAGGCGACGCCTTCGTGCGATGATGGTTTGCATACAGAAATTGCAAGCCCTTGAAGCACCTGGCAACGTGGCATGAACCGCGAAAAGAGCGAAACAAAGCAAAGCATTTTGTATTGTGTTACTTGTCGCAATATATTAATATTATAAGCCCTGCTTCTTGGCCATGAATGTTTCACCGAAACCATTGGCTGCGACCGTTGCATACCATCCGCCTGCTCTGCGTCTCAGGCTCACAGTAAATGGGTGATCTGTGGAGCCTTCTCCTCGATGTTCGAAATGATGTGCAACTGCTAGGCAGTGCTAGGTTCTGCGAGATGCATCCTGAGACGATGGTTTCGAGATGTCTGAGGCCCATGACAGCCTTAGCCAGGATGCCTTCGGCGTGGAGGACAACTTCTTCAGGAGCTCTGACCACAATGCTCCAAGTTATCTGGTGAAGCCAGCTTTGCAGCAATGAACGGCACACTCCGATTTTGGTGCATCGAGGAATCCGAAGTCCTACGAGAAATGGCGCGCAGCTGAAGCTGAAGCTGGCCTCACCCCGCTTCATTCCGATTCGGCAAGCGAGGATCGGGACCATGGCAGAGGAGAACGCGCCCGAATGCAAGACCTTGGACAGGTGCGAATCTCGGTGTCTCTCTCCTGACGTCCTCGTCATTGTCGTTTTGCATGAAATGCCAAGTTCCATTGGCTGCGTCAAATGTGCCATCGCCGTCAAAGACAAGCACAACTGCCCCATTCGCCTGGATGTGACTTGTCTGCACTCTGCAGACGGTCTCACACTTATCTGAGGATTCACGCCTAGCTTGCGCAGTTTGCCGCCTCCCTGATGTTCGGTCTTTTCATGCTGTCAGCTGGCAGGTGAAGCTGCAAGACATCTACAGGGCTCTGAAGCGAAATGCATATCCGTTCTTGGTGAGCGAGTATGGAGTGCCTTTGTTGAGCGAAGACTTGCAGACTCAGCATGTAAGACTCCTAAGTAAGAAGGAAGAAGCCGACAACGCATGGAGTTCCTGCCTGCGACCTGCAGTCCATCTATTAAGGTACGTGAGGAAGCAGAAACTGAAGAAGGCATCCAATTGGCAGAGGCCCTGGCTTCCGGCAGCGGCTCCCAACTACCACGCACCATCAAGCAACTGCGATTGACTAAGGTTAATGCCACAAAGCACGGTGCCGTGGCAGAATGTTGTGCAATTGCCCACTAGCTCCTGACAAGAAGCGGAACGAGTCGAGAATCAGCCGGACGTGAGTTCTTATAGACACAGTCGAGCCCCATTGCTTGATTGATAGATGTAGACCTGACGGGTGCTAACGTCATGACTGTGCCTGCCCAAGTCTATGCAGTTGGCAGACACGTGACACACTGGCAAGTAGAGTTGTGCTTGCGAACTTTGCAGTGTTGATCTTGCCAGGCACGTGTCTTTTGCGGAAGAGTCCTCTGAACATGCGGCGTGTGTTTGCTGAAGCAGGCGATTCTTGAGTGAAGCTGTCTAGGGTCAACCCGGTCTCTATTCCCCATTCCTCCAGATCTTGAAGTGTTGCGCTGTGTGGGGCAGCTTACATTGCTTTACATGGACGAGTAAAGTAAGTCTTTGAGCAGCGGCACAGCAGCAAACGCCATTTGTTTCATTGTTTGACCGCTGGTTGCAGAAGATTGTCATCACAAGCCATTTCTGATGTCCGCCCTACAGGAAAAGAGAAGGCACGAGAGGAGTTCTTCAAGGCAGCTTTGTACAAATAAATGGACTATGTGCACCTGCATTCAGACTGTTGTGCGCAGGCCACGAAGGACGACACAGTGGACCCAGCCCCAGGACGACTTCCCTGCCAGTCTCCCAGCAGTTTCGCCGTGCTGTCGCCCAGGTCCTTCTGAAAGACATCGAGCACCTCAACACCGAGCTCCAGGTGGACAAGAAATCTGACAGGAGACCGACGATTTCGGGCTTCTCAGACTTTCCCATAAAGGAAACAAGCCTCGGTGACAAGACATAATTCCACTTGATTTTGGTGTTGATCGCATGGAGAGGATTCTTGAGACCACGGACCGCTATCCAATCAGGGAACGCTTGGAGGTGCCCGTGGTGATGCCCGTTGACATGTGCAGCCAGTTGAAGTTTCTGTGATGTCAGGAGAAGGCTCGGCGAGAGAGCGGCAACTCGACACTACCAAGCAGCTTGGCATAGCAGGTCTGACAATGTCGACCTTGAAAGTTCTGGCTCGACCTATTTTGCGTCGCATCTGAGGTGGTATCGATTACGAAGATGTGATGAGCGTCTTCAGTCGCCGGGTTGTAAATTTATTCACATCAAAAATGAGGGAGGCTCTGCAGCTTGGTCTAGTAACACTCCCAGGCCAGACTTACAAGGACACGGTTGAGGAGTTCGCGCAGTGGTTTGTGCCACTTGTCAGAACGGGCTAGTGTGGATCTTCGCCAGAATGTTGTGACCGAATGACCGTGCTTGGAGGTTCTCCGACAGGATCAAAGAAGATCAGAACCGGCCAGAACACAAGGCCGGCCGGCCTGGCATGGTGACAGGTGGAAGTGAGGAGTTTGCCGGCTTTCAGGTGGACTACATCATCAGCTGCCCTTGTTCCAAGAGTAGCTTCGATGTTACCGAATACTTCCAGGACTGATTGAAGGGAATTGGGCACAGTTCCTGCAGCAGTTGCTACTACGGCCCTGCAGGACATTGGCAGTCAGGGCATGTCTGAGCAGCTCGGAGCAATCTCAGGTTGAGACATGCGTTTCCGCTTCTTTTCCTGTCTGCAGGTATTACAATCGATGATGGCCTATGTGGATGTCCTGCATGGCGGCAAGCCTCATCGCGACAGCTCATAGAATACGGCAAAAAGCAGCCTCAGTGTCTGTTGCTTCGATTCGGCTGCTCCGAAGCGTGCATGCGAATTGGACTTTTGGATTGGAGGCCCTTTACCGGCGCGGGTTGGCTCGGTATCGCCTCGGAGATCACAGGCGATCTCGTGCGGGCCCTGTAAGACCATGAAACGCTGCACACAGCCCAGTGGGAAGCTTGTTGCTCGGAGGCCCGGACCTCGAAGCTGCACTGAGATCGATCAGCAACTGGCGCATGAACCAGGAGTGGTCAGCTGCCTAAAACTCCCTCTGCTGTCACTTCCTCCCCTCCGTCTGCTTTTGCACAGGACCGAAGCCAATTAGCCTTCTGCCTGGCGCCATCTCTTTCTCTCTCTCTCTGTCTCTGTCTCTCGCCATCTGTCTGTAAGCTGCTTGACCCTTCCAGGCCGCCTTGTTGTTGTTGTTGGCCGCAAAAGAACGCCATGACAAACCAACGCCGGGAGGAGAGAGCGAGAGGCTCCCTGGTCCTCTGACCCACGAGCAAGGAGAGCGAGGGAAAGCAAGAAGAAGGGAAAGCGATCACTTACATAAGAATGTCGTGGAAAGGTTTTTCTGGTCTCGCGCATCAAACTCTTTGCAACATCTCTTCGCCGTGTAAATTTTGCCTTTGAGGGCCTGGACGCGGAGAACTTGCTAGGTTAACGAGCCCCCGAAAGGCGGACTCAAGCTCCAACCTCAAGCAACACGATCAACCCCCATAAAGCCGAAAGCTCTCTAAGCCCCAATTCTGGAACAAGAACCCTGAACCCTAGTGTCGCATTCCTCACCTACAGGATCTCCTAGAACCACAGTTCCAAGCCCGAAACTCTTGAACCCTAGACCCCACAGGGCCTAAGTCCAAAGCCCTTATCCTTCCCTGAACTGTAACCCTAAGTCGATCCCGAACCCAACCCGCGGTCTGTTTACAAAAGGTGAGTTTGAGTCCCGCAATCATACTTTTCGATGATCAGCACACATTTGCATCGCATTGACTCGAACACCACAAGCCGAATTCCTGACCAGACGATGTCCGAAAAGAACATCAGGCATTGAATGTGATCTCGCAAGGAATGCAAGGATAGCGCATCCAGGGGAACCCTTTACAGGTCGGTGCGCGTTCGCCTCAAAACGGATCGGGCAACAGTTTTTTCAAAGGCTACTGGGTGCACCAAGTAGTGCGATGTCAGGGCATTGCCATGTGGTTTCGCAAGCTTTGTCAGGATGGAGCTTCTGAAGATGCCAGGGCCTGGAAAGAGTTTTCATGCGGAAGTTTCGGAGAAGCGCAGATTTGGCACCTTGGTTTGGTGCTGTCGACATCCAATTGCAGATTCAAGCTCGCATCCACCGACTGATGCCAAGATGGATCATCTGCGCGTTTCTGTCTTCTGCCTCAGGCCCCAGGCATGCATGATCTGGAGCGTCGAGCCGTGCTCCTGGTTTCAGCAGCCACCGAAGGGTAGTGCGCCCGTTTTCCGGGACATTGGCCCACCCCCATGATCATCTCTATATCCTTTCTCTACCCAAATCGGCTGTCCTGCCAAACCTCTCCAAGCTTTTGTTTGCGATGCCACCACAAGACATCGAGAGTAGGAACTAAGCTACTGCGACTACGAAAATGGCTAGTGTATGAGATGCAAGGCTGTGCAACTGTCAAAACATGGTGACGACGACGTGAAAGTATCTTAATCATGACCGCGGGTACTTGTAGCAAGTAGTAATATGGGTGCCAATCGTAAGAATAGGAAACGATACAGGAAAATCAGGACCTGCTTAGAGCAGTAGTAGTGGTAGTGGGAGTAGCAGTAGTAGGTGTCGTGGTCGTCGCCATCGTCGCAGTGGTAGTGCTAGTGCGAGCGCTGGTGCTAGTGGCAGTGGCAGTGGCAGTGGCAGTGGCAGGGTCGGGGTATTGGTAGTGGTGGTGGTGGTGGTAGCCGTAATCTTAGTAGTGGTAGTAGCGGTGGTAGTAGTAGTAGTAGTAGTAGTAGAAGTAGTAGTAGTAGTAGTAGTAGGAGTAGTAGTAGTAGTAGTAGTAGTAGAAGGAGTAGTAGTAGTAGTAGTAGTAGTAGTAGTAGTAGTAGTAGTAGTAGTAGTAGTAGTAGTTGTTGTTAGTTGTAGTTGTAGTTGTAGTAGTAGTTTTAGTAGTAGTAGTAGTAGT